AAATCAAATAAGCATAGAGATAAGAAAGTCGTTTTTCTTATTTTGAACTAGGTTCTACCTTGACATATGCTCATAATTACTCTCAGTCTAATTTATCTATCACCTGCTCAACGAATATTTATCGTATTTAAGCGAAATGAATTAGAAAAAAATCCAACTGCTTTTCGCAAAAAATATCCCATAGTCTCATGCTTTTTAGGAATAATCTTCTCTATAAATTATTTTCTATACCTCTTCTTCCTTTCTGCAGTGTGCTCGGTCCCATTGACAGAAGAGACAAGAATGTCTTTGACAGGTGCGATCTTGAGTTCAAAAACTTACTCTCGCGAATAGCCCTTAATACTTCATTTCTAGAAACTTCAAGGTACCCTCGAAGAGCGCAAGCTGCGTCTGCAACATTTTGCTGAGCTCTACTTTGAAGAGGCAACGTCAGCTGAGCAAAACAACACCCAACAGTCGATCGCTTTACAATGGTAAAGCATTTGGTGCAAATTGACTGTGCAATTCATGAGTGCTCCAGGCGGTAGTCGCGGATTCTGAAAAGAGCCCTGGTGTGGTGAAGATTAACAAATAGAAGGTGTGGCCGATTATCTTTTTGAAGGTGACGTCATATTGACGGAGTGGGTTAAATACCTTGATTTTTTTCTGAATTTTCACTGCACTTTCTTCAATGAAGTCTCATAAGTTGCAGCGCACAGCTGGCTCGCATAGAAGCTGGCTTAGGTATTAACAAATCTACTCGTGCTAAACGACAAATTCACAATCTAAACACGCTTTGGTCCGAAAACCATGTTTATTACTATTTTGCGACTGGTGTAGGTGAGATGTTTTCATAGAAAATGTTTTCTTCTATTCTCTCATCTTGAATTCCAGAAGAACACAGAAAAACTTCCATCAGAAATACCCTACAGTACATCAGAGATCACACTTGCATAGACTTCACAGAGAGTGACACAGCAGTAAATAGGATTCGTGTCTTCAGAGGAAGTGGCTGCTACTCGTACATAGGGATGGTTGGCGGAGTTC